AACGTTTCAGAGGTCATACTGCCTCCGTCATCAGGGCGATGAGTATGAAGATTTCTGTCTTCTGGGTTGTTGCGCTGTGTAGTCTGGTCGATGTTTACCAACGTTTCAGAGGTCATACTGCCTCCGTCCTACCTCAACGGGAGGCCCTCGGATCAAACAGCCATCGTGACTGAGGTCATTCGCTGTTTTCCTCGTCCCTTCGGGAAAATTCCAGGGCAGTACTTAAAACTGGACCACTACCGCTTCCTTCCACGTCCTTACGAATTAAAGACGCATTAATCATCCTCGCAATCGTCGGTATATAATCCGACGTATTACAGTCGTTAAAGCATAACTTCAAAATAAACTAACAAGAGAAACTCTTAAGATGCGACTCTGTTGCCTTCAAGGAAGAAACGCAACAACTAGTACTGAGTCTGATCGAAATCGGTCACACAGTTTGATCTACTGGATAGGCACAAAAGATCACATAGAAGATCAAAGTCGTAGGTAACTTTCGAGCTTTTTTGTGCGTTTAAAAACTCACGCTGTCGCTCTCTCACCAAACGAAAATACAACGAGTTAAGGTTAAAATATTCCGTACCTTCCAAATCACCTTTCCCGTACAGTTATATCTCGAATCTTGAGGTAATGAACATGTTCAGGTCCAGGAAGACGTGAACTGTGTTTCTCTTGTTGTAGGACACAACTGTGCTTATGAGCATGTGGTCAGTCCATTATGATAAGGAGCACTGGGGAGACCCCGAGGTATTTAGACCAGAGAGGCACCTGGACGACGACGGAAAGCTCATCATTGACGAGTGGTTTCTCCCCTTCGGGCTAGGTGAGTGGAAAAGTAATCGGTTTCCACTGGCAAAAAGTCTAACCGCCAGCAATTTATATGATTAAATGTCCTTGCGAGATAAATTCAAGCTATAAAATGTACGAACAGTGAAACAATTCTTGCAGGATTGCCAAAACTTTGACCTTTGCGAGTAACTTCAAAGTTGCCTGGGTGACTGGGTATTCCCCAGGTTATCACGGTAAACAAGGTACTGATAGTTACTACAGTAACCATTGTAACTAAAGTAACCATGGTAAGGTAGACAACCTGGGGATTCCCAATGTTGCCATTTCCGAGCGCAGAAACACGTGTACATATTGTCTGATTTTGACAGATAATGGAGTTGTCGACATATTTTAGTAAATCTTCCAGCGTTTCAACTACCATCTTGATAACCCATTGACTCAGAGAAATCCTACCCACTTACAACTTCTTAATATTTCACAAATCATTCCCATTATCAACTAAAAAGTAGTTTAAATAAATATAGAGTATTCTTGTGCAGGAGAGAGTGAAAAGTTTACAGCCACCAACCAAAAATGTCAATATTAATATACCGATAACATATGAGAAAATCCTTCTCTAATTTCAAGAAATTATCTACTTAGGATGGCTGTCTTATGGGTTGTAGCGCCGTGTAGTCTGGTAGAAGTTTACCGACGTTTCAGTATAAGACTGTTATGACTGCGCGAGGAGGCTAATACATTTTTGTAAATTCACTTGAAAACAATAGCGGCACAAAGAAGGTCCTCAGTCACGCTTTATTTTCGAGGAACTAGCCGTAAGTGAAGCGTCCTCGTAATGGGTCCTGTTCACTTTTCAGGCAGGCGAAGGTGTCTTGGAGAAGCACTGGCAAAGAGTTGCTTGTTCATGTTCTTCGCTGGGGTTTTGCAGAACTTCGAGATTTTGCCTGTTCCGGGCAAGAAGCTGCCCGATGAGGCACCGATCCCCGGACTGATTCTTACCCCTCAGCCGTACACGGCGATGCTCAAACCTCGTCTGGAGCATTCAAATACGAAACTTCCGTTTTTGTAGCACAGTAAAGCTAAGAAGGGACCTACAAGAAACAAAACGTACCAAACATATGTCTACGTGCCCCGAAAAGGCCCCTTCCAAATTCCGAGTTTAAAATTATACGCTTATAAGTGTACTCTGAATTCTAAGAGCATTTACAGACAACGAAAAAAAAAATGGTGCCACCGCGTCTAGACTTGCGCTAGAGAACATCTGGCCTCCTTTCCCAAAGGGCGCTGGAGATTGAAGCCAGCCCTTTTTTGATATAATATTAAGATCTTTATCAAATTTAACTTTCTCGAATTTAGTGCGATATAGGAAAAGAATTTCAATTGCAGAAATGAAACTGAGATGTTCAGATTTGACTAATTTATACCAAAAAAAAAGAGGAAATATTAATCTATATCAGGTGTAGGCAATAATTTTTACTTGAAGTAACAGGGGGGAGACAGTCTCTCGTAAAAAAAGAGCAATGTACTTCAAAGTCCGAAACATATTTATCAGTTTCCCATATTTTAAAAATGCCAATGAAAAGATAAGAAACACCACTGTCGCTTATTAATAAATACAAATTAAAACAGGTGAAGTTGGACTTAACTTCATTTAATTTAATTCTGGATAAGCTCCTATAAAAATCCCATAAAATTCTATCTAATCGACGTGCGACTATGTATTCCATAACACTGCTTGAATAACACAGTCTGGCATTTCATTATTCATTTTTGAAGGTACTCTTTAAAACTACGAAACACCAGGCATCGGCCAAGACTGGAAAGAGATTCTTGCTGAAACAAACACGACTGTCTTCTGGGTTGTTGTGATGACTCATCGCCCTGATGATGGAGGCAGCAAGGACCTCTGAAACGTCAGTAAACGTCTACCAGACTACCCAGAAGACAGTCACCTTCAGACTCGCCGCCATGGAAACCTCAAATCTTACATCTACTCATTATTATCTCGGCACCAGATGTCACACTCTAGGGTCGGTCACATTACATATTCCTCTATTACGATAAAACGTGCTTCCCACTAAAGTACCACATCATAAGTTTACAAAGGCACGCCGATGATAATCCTTTTACGTATCTATCAGGAAATCGTCCATCATGGCTCAAATGTTTCGTCGTATTCTTCAGTCCCTTCAGAAATATGCCGGGACAGTACCTCTGGTTTAGTGACAACACTTAGACAAATATCATATCCATTATTTACAATCCTTGCACCATATACGCTGTATAATCTATGCAGTTAAGAAAACGATTTAAAAATAACTAATGAACCGACTTAGCCATTGAGACAGATTCCGGCTTCGTAGTAACTTACATACTCTAACATAGATGGCAGAACGCTCTAGGATACATGTCGTTGCTTTCTTGAGGCAGAAAAGAATGCGATAACCTAAGTAAATTTTTAATCATTTGCATCACGAAGTTCAAATTCGCATACTTTCTCAAACAAAACACGTGTCACCATTCCAAAGGTCAATGTTGTTTAGAGACGTATAATGAGAACGATATGAAACCCATAAATACATTCAATGTAGATTGTGCTGGAGTGTCGTTTAATTCAATTTCTAAACTCGGCTACATACACGTATATAGAGATAGACCTAAGAGTTCCACGAACTCTAGTGGCGATTGGTGGCAATTATATGCTCCGGCCGAATTGCCAACTGAACAAACCCAGAAATGACCCCTCGGCATCCGGGTCGTAGTTAGTCTCTACTGATTGAACCATCCGGGCCCTTAACAGCCTCTATTAAGGGCACGCACACGATAAAGAGTTTGACTCATTTTTACGCTAACGACAATTCGAAACAGCACCAAATGAGGTCAGAAGACAATCATAAATGGTTAGTATCACGAGACTCTGGAGATGTAGGGTAACACAGATGAGATTCAAGTCAGAATCTCCTTGATTATAGCCGTAAGCTCAGAAATTTTTTTTCTAATGAACTGCGAAAGGCGACGAAAAAGGATGACGGCAGCAAGGACCTCTGAAACGTCGGTAAAAACTTCTACCAGACTACACAGCGCAACAACCCAGAAGACAGAAATCTTCATACTCATCGCCCTGATGACGGAGGCAGTATGACCTCTGAAACGTTGGTTAACATCGACCAGACTACACAGCGCAACAACCCAGAAGACAGAAATCTTCATACTCATCACCTTGATGATGGAGGCAGTATGACCTCTGAAACGTTGGTAAACATCGACCAGACTACACAGCGCAACAACCCAGAAGAC